TACTCCGTGCTCTGAGGGGTGGCTTGGAAAGCAGCTCTCCACACGGGAAAGACAGCTTGCTAAGGTCCTGTACCTCTTGAAGGCTATTCCAGCCTGCTCTTGCCCTTTGAAATAAAGTCTGAAAGTCTGCATGTGTGTGTGCATGTGTGTGTGTATGTGTGTGTGTGTGTGTGTGTGTGTGTGTGTGTATGCACTCTGTGTGTGTGTGTATATATATATATATATATATATGTTTCTATGTATACATACACTATAATACAATATATATACTAATTATATATGAATTTGTATATAATACAAATATAATAAAAGTTTGTTTGTTTAATAGATGAACCACCCAGCTGGAGAACAGTAGGTCCTAGATGACAGCTCAAGCTAGTGTGGCAGAGTGCATTTTTCATTCTTTTATGTCTCTACAACCTGATACTGTCTGAGATCATAGTTTCCTGACTTGATTTTTCCAGTAGTTGGGATTAGAAAACTTTTTCTCCATTATTTGACTTTAAGATTGATTCTTGCAGCCTCTCTGAAGTAAGTTCTTGAAGATCTTGCCCCCACCCATTCCTGGGTCCCTTCCTACTCATTTTCTACATCTATGACTTTCCTTAACACTTAAGTCAGACTTTGTGCTGACTTAAAATTTACTGGTTTATTTGCTTTTCATAAGTAATGTGTGAGCTCATTGAAGACAGAGTCTTGCCTCCCTTGTTTTGGCACACCCACCTTGGCATTGTCCCTACTGCATGGACTGAATTGATGCCATTTGAGTACCAACATAATTTTAATTCAGCCAAGTGTCAGAGCATGTATGAATACATGACTAGGCTGTGCATGTACAATACCTGAAGCTCACAGTGATGGTCTGTGTCAGTCTTCTGTGGGTCCATCAGTGGCCTATCCTGAGACCCTATATACAATTACTAGTACAGCCATTGCTTGAAGGATTGGGAGGCAGTTTCTATGTATAGAAGAGGAAAAGAAGGAAAGTAGAATTCTCAGTTATCCATCTCCTTCTTCCTCAGAGAAAAATAATGAACTTCTGTTTCATTGTGCGGCATCCTATCTAGGATTTATGTGTGTCCGTCCTGGAGAAGATCTCAGAGTTACTGCATGGTATACTACCTCTGCTGCAGCCACCTTCCAATAAAGCAGTGAGAGCTCAGAGCTGCACGGGAGATCTATTGCCGCTATAACTCTCAGCTTATCCCACACCTTTCTTGATGGCACTAGCAAGAAAACCGAAATTATGAAACTTTCTATCCTGCACCACAATGCCACACGAGGGTCATGAATCTCCAATACCTTTCAGAAAACCTACTGCTTCTGATAATCCTGCCCACTAGAAAAATGACCATCAAGGACACCATGATTTCAGATGGAGGGTGAACCTTACACACCTGAATGTAAATCAATGTCCACATGGTTCTTAAATTTCTCCATCTTTAGAATCTTCAGCTTTTCAAGCAATAGGCCATATAAATAGTATCATATCATGAGCTAAATCATGGTCTTGTAACTGGATACATTCCCTAAGCTGGTTTTAATTGCTCCTAGAAACTGCTTAACATTGTAGATCAATCTCTAGATCTGAGATGACATTACCCTGGCAAATTAATTATTAATACTCTGATCACTCACTTTAGACATTAATAGTTTTTATTGATCAGCACATCCTGTTTATCCAAATGCCCTAATCACCATTCATGTTATAAGAGTATCTGAACATATCCAATTACAGACTCAACCCACTTTCAGCTACATCAGCAGATCTCAGGTCAAGGGTGCCTCTCATCTTCACAACATATTAAGTCTGGCTCTATCACAGGTGCTCTATTTAAGAGCACAAAAGAGAGGTGAGTTCTCTAATGATGGGAGCTCATTTTCTCTTGGCTTCCTGTCCTACATAAAGGTTTTTCAGTGGTCAGGTAGGGTAAATTAAATCTAAGAGCACCTTTTTACTGAATCCTGCATCTATTCATAGTGTGTTGGTCATGTATAGAATGGGATGAGAAGCCTCGGTTGATAATCAATTAAAAGTACTGGAGATTTCGGCAATGTACATATGTGTTAAATTTGTAATGTATATACATAGTCATCTATACACGTACATGCGTTTATGTGTATATGTGTGTGTGTTTTGAGGCTGGGTAATCATTGTGTGTGGTAACTAATGGTGCAGGATAGTTTTTCAAAGAGTTTTAACCTTGCTAAGGGCTTTCCAAGCCAGAAAGTTTTCATTGTAAGATAATAAAAGTGTATTTTACAGTTGATAAAGCTGTCTCCATTAGAGCATGAGCTCTTAGAAGCTGGAGGCAGTATCTTGTTCATTTGGGCAGGTCCCTTGTATCTGGAAAGCAGACAGTACTCTATATGAGTATCATGAGGGCTGCCTTCCAATAGTATGGAAGAATGGTGAGGACGAGAGGAAACACTGAGCCCATGCAGCAATGTACCAGAGTGAAATATATTTAAGTATTTCTATCGTTAGATTCATTGCAAAATAGCATCATCCAAGTAAACATCTTAGGTAGAATTTGTACTGCTGATATAAAACACTATGGCCTTGGGGACGAAAGCGTTTACTTCAGCTTTCCAAATCATAGTTCATCACTGAGGAATGTCAGAATGGAAACTCAAACAGGGCAGAGCAAGGCATGTTGTAGAAGTCATAGAAGAGTGCTGCTTACTGGCTTGCTCTTCATTGCTTACCCAGCTGGCTTTTACACCCAAGGACTGCCTTCCCAAAGGTAGCACCATCCACAGTAGGCTGAGCTCTTGCACATCAATCACCAATGAAAACAATGCACCATGGTTTGCAATGGACAACTCTGGTGGGGACATTTTCTCTTCTGAGATTTCTTTATCCCAGGTGAGCCCAGGCTGTGTCAAATTGATATAAAACTGAACAGCCCAGTGGATATATGGTAGATATTTTTGAGATTATGAAATTATTTTCTATTAGCAAGGCATGATGGTACATGCCTTTAATCCCAGCACTAGAGGAGGAAGAGGCAGGGGATCTCTGTGAGATTGAGGCCAGTCAGAGCTACAAAACTAGTCCAGGACTGCCATAGCCATTACACAAGAGAAACCCTGGCTTGAGAAAATACACACAAAAACTTGTTTTCTATTGATTCAAACACATACAGTCTTTTACAAAAGCACTGTCTACAGACTTTAGTGGACCAGATTTCAAACACAGGTAACTAAGGTTTCCACACTCTGCCTCTGGAGAAAATGCTATAAATGTTTTGTTTGAGGCCAAGCATTCAGTCATGAAATGTTCGGTCTCACAGGACATGCCTGATCTCATCTTAAGCTATTTTAAGCTGATTGCCAACCATTAAAGCTTGATAGATTTTTCAAAATGCAATACTGTTTAGTATTTCTTTGAAAAGTTGTGGTTACTTTACAGATCTGGGGCTGGGACCCACATATCCTGCTCTGCTTGACGTGGGCATGGTGAAACCTGCCCTTTTCTGCCAGGAGCTTCCAGAGTTCTCCATAAAGACAATGTTTCCCACCTGTCTCACAATTTGGTTATATAGCTTTTAAAAGGTTCACAGAATAAGTAATCTACCTTTCCTGCAAAAGTCTAGTTTAAAATTTCTGTCCAAAAGGAAAACTATTATGTTTGTTTGATTTAGAAATTTATCAGCAGTTTTCTTAAGCTAAAGTACCATTTTTAAAATTTTCTATAATTTGTATTTAATTTAGTTTTATTTTACAGGATTATATAAAGGCTTTTTTTCATGTAAACACATAACAAACTGTGCCTTCTCTCTTTTCCTTTCACATTGGTTCCCTTTGCCCTTCTAGGCATTTTTGCGTCTATGTTCAAGTTATCTGTACATATATGATTTTAAATCTGTCAGACCAAGATCCATGAATGAGAGAATGGTATTTATCTTTCTGAGACTGAGTTAATTTACTTAATATGATTATCATCAGTCTCATCTATTTTCCCATAGACAATACAACTTCCTCTTTTCTTTTTAATTTTGTTTTGGGTTTTCTCCATGTGTACTCGGTCAGCAGCAACTCATAATTGATAAGATCTACTTCAGTAGACCCTGGAGTTGTATACTTTGACTGTCTAGTTTTAGCCCATTTTTTTTTTCAGTTTAGTGAAATACCTGAGGCAGCTACTGATGCAGCAAAGGTTTGTTGTATCCCTTTGAGGACATCTGCTTCAATAGTATACCCAGGTCTCACTAAGTCCCTCCTTTTTCAAGTCTCATTTTCTTTTGCTTTATACCACCTTGTACCAAGCATCTTGTACATGAGCCTTCCAAGACCATATTCATAAAAAAACGCATCCATACTGTAGCAGTTTTAAAATTAAATATGGAGCACAATGGAGAAATATGTGAATGGGTGGAGTACTTGCAGTTTCCCCTGTGCTGGGAATTTGGAGTTCACTTTAAGGTCTGTAAAAGCTGTCATTATTTATCTCATTCTGTGGACATCTTTTTCTGTTCAATTTTTTTGTGGGGGGGGAGTTTCATTATTTTCTGGAAAAAAATAATAAGGGGATAGAAAACTAAATAATGGAGAATGATCATGTAAATCAAGGACTCTTCCTCTGCCTTCAAGTTAATTTCTACCTGATAAGGAGAGGTCCTTGTCCCATTACCAGCTTTGTATAGGGCCATATCAGCCCAAGTTCTTGCCTAAGTAATATTTGAAAAAGAAAAAAAAAAAAGGAATAAGAAGTGGGCTGGGAATCTTAGTCTACATTTGTAATCCTAGCATGAAGAGACTAAGTCAGAAGAATTTGAAGTTTGGAGTCAGCGTGGGCTTTATAGAGGGGCTGGACCTCAAAATAAAACACAAGCAGGAGGCTTATTTGTCTTCAAATTCATAATTCACTGTTCTTTCCTTTCCTTCAGTAATATTTTCCACAAGTGGACTTTATTATTATTCATTTAGAGGCAGATAAGGAGACCATAAGGAGACATGGAGCCAAATCTCATTGTAATGTCTCTTCTTGTCCACAGATTAAAGGTTGCACAAAACTTAAAAGAAGCAGAAGCAGCAGTTTCATTCACTTGTTATTGGACTTGAAACTCCTTTGACCTTGGAAACTGAAGATGAGGTTGCCATGGGAACTGCTGGTGCTGCAATCATTCATGTTGTGCCTTGCAGGTAGAGTGTCATTTCAAAACTTTTTGATTTAAAAGTGCCACTGTATTTCACACTAATTCAAAAGTAGGCCTTTGCTTTAGAAGGCAATGGTAAAATCATAAGTGTGCAGGTTACTGGGGCTGGCATTTGCTGACAGTGGTGAACACACCTTCTTGCTAGTCTTTCGCTGGCTCTTTTCATGGTGCTCTGTCCAAACATCAGAAGTGATGGTTCATCTGCCGACCTTTCCCTCTACTGCTACTTAAGCCATTATTGAGTTTGAACATTTTTATTTTTGATCATCCCAGGGCCCAGTTGCATGGAGGTATTAGGCAGTAAATCTGATAATAGAGTCTGAAGAATTGGCTGTTTGTTGTTAGTGGATGGGATTTTATCTGAGTAGTTCTTTCAAACCACTCCATCTTATTCTCTGCTTTTCATTTCAATACCCCTATAGCCTATTAGGCTCCAGAAAACATAATACAGAAGATTTTGCCATATACCCATTGCCAATCACTAGAAAAGAAGCTTTATAAGTTCAAACATGCCGTTTATTGCTTTTTCAGTTTTCTGAGAGATTTGAGCCTAGCACCTGACATGTGTAATTCAGGAACAATGCATTGTAAGTCCAGTCGGGCTGGAAATCGTTTCCTCGATTGGGTTAGTACTTTTCTTTCAGAGCTGACCTGATTTCTTGTCTTAGGTCCTAAAGAGACATTTGAATATATTTGCTTTTTTTTTTTTTTAATATAACTTGAAGCAAATTGGGCTTTTGGATCTCTATCCTTTTAACTGATTCATCCATTTAGATACTACTGGGTGGCTTACAGTGGGCCAGCCCAGGAATGGAACCTTAGGCTACAGTCCTGAGCAGAACATACACAGCAACATGCTCGTGGGGCTCTTTTGATTCACAAGTAGACTGTTGGCCAGTTGGAGCAAAGACAGCATCAGCATGTACGGGTCCCTCGCTTTATTGCAGGCACTTTGCTTAGTACCTGTGTTTAATCTCATTTCATTCTCCTGAAGATACCTGATAAAACAGGATCAGATGAATGGGGAGGAGGTCCCCCCTATTAGTGGACTTGGCAAGGGGCACGGTGGAGATGAGGGAGGGAGGGAGAGACTGGGAGGGAATGAGGGATCGGGACAAGGCTGGGATACAGAGTTAATAAAATGTAACTGATAAGAAAAAAATAAAATTAAAAAAAAAATCTCATTTCATTCTTCCATTAACACTAGGAGGCAAACATTTATTATGTTTTTTTTTTTTTCATTCAAATTGTGGACAATATTGCTGATTAATCAAGATGTGAGAAAAAAATCACTAAAGGTCACAAGTCCTATACTTGGGACATCTGTGTCTATGCCTCAGATTCAAGCCAGACTGTAGCTTTAAGCATCTTTTAGTGTGTTAATTTGGTTCGTTCAGGATTGAAATTTATACATGAAACTACGTCTGTATTATTATTTTTAGAACATTAAAATGTCAATTATTGATACATTGTTGTTTTTTTTTTACTGCCCTATTGGTTGTTTTAATTTGTTGTATTTTATTTATAATTCTTGGCTTACATATACTTTAAATTCCAGTTTTCACATTCTGGGTTGGATATGTAACACACTCTCTCTTCTATGATTTATGAACATTTTGGAATGTTCATAAGATATTTTGGAATATCTTTTTATAGAGATCATATTTATCTCCCTCGTGTGTTCAGAGCCTAAATCTTCTGCCGTCTCAACAGTATAACACAAATTGTGCACATCAGCTGGCTTTCTCTGATACCTAACTCCCTAAAGACCTCGACTGAGGTCCTGAAACTTTTATCATAATGACTCTCCAAAGATATCCATTAAACTACCTAAGAGTGAATAAATTCCTTGGTTTTGCCAGCAGCAATACATTTATTTAACCCACTGTTTTTGAGGGCATTTTAGGAAATTAAAGGTTGCAATATCAAAAAAGCTACAAACCTTTTCAGTTGTGTTTTGGAAGACGGGCAGTATACTATTTGCTCAAGTAGCTATTTGTATAGACTCGTCACACTGGCTTTTCCGTGAGCCTTCTGTGTGTTGTTTTACATGTATTAATATTCTCTTACCATATGCTTCTTTCGGAGTAGGTAAAGTCAAGCTTTAATTAATGTTTTTGTTTCCTTGTTATGTGTCTTGGTTTCATTAATTTCCACTGCACTTGACACTCTCAATGCTGAACAGATTTCTTTAACTGCTCATTTTCTTCTTTCTGTGTATCATCCATATTTTTCTATACTTCTTTAGCTTTACATTTCAGAAAGAGTTTGGCAAGGACAATATGTATGCTTATGTTTACTGTAATTAACAGCTTTAAATATCCCCTTTCTTGATCATTTTCCATTTCAAATATATAACCAGGCTACCCATGCTTAAAAGGAATTCTTTAAGATTTGAAAATTGTTTAGGGGTACTGAATGGTGCTTTTCGTTTTGGTGGGTTTTCTTTTTTTCCATCAAATACTAGGCTAAGTCTCTAGTGATAACTCAAAAATACAAAAAATTAATTTTGTAGCAATCTTCTAAAAGTTCAATCACAAAGCAATTGACTTTACTTTTGCATCTTTAAAGCCATTCAAATCTGGAATGACAATACTCTTTTTTAAATAATAATTTTATATTAATCACAGGTTATTTACTTTGTATCCCTGCTGTAGCCCCATCCCTCATTCCCTCCCAATCACACCATCCCTTCCTCATCTCCTCCCTTCCCCTTTCCAAGATAGAGGAGGACCTCCTCCTCTTCCATCTTACTTTTTTTTTCCATTTTACTTTTTTAAAGAGCAACGAAACCTTCATATTGGCAAAACATAATAAAGAATGGTAGTGAAGGGTGGACTGTCTCAGAGTACCCTGTAGAAGGCTCCTGTCCTGTTGCTTGTCTTCTCCTACTTCCGATGTCTATCCTGTTTGCCCTCCTGAGTGAGATTTCAGCCTCTTCCCTAGGGTCCTCCTTGTTGTTTAGCTTCTTCAAGAATATAGATTTTTGTATGTTTATCCTATATTATATGGCTAATATCCACTTATGAGTGAGTATATTCCATGTGTTTCTTCCTGCTTCTGGGTTACCTCACTCAGGATGATCTTTTTTAGTTCCCATCAGTTGCCTGTAAATTTCAGGGAGCCTCTGATAGATTCTACCCATCAGGGTATGGAAGGAGATACTGAGATTCACAACCAAACTTTGGGCAGAGTACAGGAAACCTTATGGAAGAAGAGGAAGATAGAAAGACCTGGAGGGTACAGGAACTGCACAGGAGATCAATAAGCCCCAAAACCTGGGCACAGGGCCACCTGCAGAGACCAATACTCCAACCAAGAACCATGCGTGGAGAGGACCTAGACCCTTGCTCAGTTTCCAAGTGGGCTTTCTAGTAAGGGGTACAGGAGCTGTCTCTAACATGAACTCAGTGGCAGGCTCTTTGATCATCTCCCCCTGGGGTACAGCCTTGCCAGGCCATAGAGGTAGATAATGCAGCCAGTCCTGATGAGACTTAATAGGCTAGGGTCAAACAGAGGGGGAAGAGGTCCTCAGTGGAATAGGGAAAGGGCATAAGGGGAGAAAAGGGGAAGGTGGAACTAGGAGGAAATGGAGAGGGCTACCACGAGTATACAAAGTGAATAAATTGAAATAAGGAAGTAAGGAAGTAAGGAAGTAAGTAAGTAAATAGAATGGTAATGACTATTAAAAATGAACAGGGGTTAGAGTTTGGTGTTTTTACCCGAACCCATAGTGTTTGGCACTTTATGTATAATTTCTTGAAGTTTCATAATATTAATGAATCAAATTAATATACTTCTTAAAGAAACAAGATTTATACAAAGAAACACGAATTGGTCTGTATCCTTGTTGTAGTTCCTACCCTGCAATTTCCTGATTATTTTCCCCTTAACATTTGGCTTTCTTGTTATACAGAAATGATATCAGTTATGATTGGAATTTGTGGACTACTTTTGTCAAGAATATACCTTTGATATACCTAAGATTCGATTTCTATCATTTTTAGATATGTCCTACAATATTATATAATCAGTGTTCTTTCTGTGATTATAGTAAGTTAAAAAAGCATTGTTTCATTTTATTCACATCTTCTACTTCCCTAATTGTTTAAAATTTCTTCTAATCACTGATCAGTATCTCCAGTATACTATTTCTGAGGTGTGTTATTAAAGAGGCTGTTATTAGAAGTATTGTTGTAAGAGTTTGTCTTTATAATTCACTGCTCCATGCCTAGGATCTAGAAGCCTGGCATATATGGCTTCTATATTATTTATTGAATAAATTCCCCATATTGGCCAGTCACATAAAACAGACAGAAGAAGAAATAGAGATGGAGAGGAAGAAAGAAAGGGAGAGGGAGAGAGAGAGAAACACACGGAGAGCCAAAGCACAGAGCTCTCTGCTGTAGTGTAATTATAGGATACCATGGGTTACTCATCTCACATTTATCATTGATTAATGAGTGAGTAATGTATGAAGCTAGCCCATACATGCATGCCCATACGTGCATTTTCAAATTAGAAAGGAATATCTAAAATGTTTAAATTGCTTGGTATCTGTGGAACTGTGAATCACGTGTTCTTGGTCCAACAGCCCCTTACCCATTCTGACTTCATCTACACCTCCGGTGGCATTTTTCTACATTTCTCTCCCTCTGGCTATTCTCATACATCGTAAGCGTGAGGAACCATGAAACACAAACTCTCTCCTTGGGGGCAGCCCTCAGTCAATGGAGCATGACAGTGCATAGATAAACGACTCAGTCTTCTGTTACTTGGAGAGTCAATTCTTAGGCAGTCTTCCTTGCAGTGTCTTAGGGATCCCCAGCAAGAAGAGCCCAAATGCCCACAGTAGCAACTTTGGCCTTTTCTTCTTTAATCTTGGATTTTGGAGATGCCAGCAGATAAACTAATTGTTTAGACAATCTTCTCTCAGTCTCTGCTTTCAAGAGACTGCAAACCAATAGCATATACCCAACAATAAAA